CTGCTTTGAATTCTATCAACAGCACTGCAATTGCGATTGTATTGTTTCCTGTGCTGCTATTTTAATTGTTTTTTTTTTCAATAAATCTCAATTATTCGTGTGGCTCTTGAGTTTAGGCGGCGGAAAGTGGTGCGGTTAGTTGCGAGTTCGAACCCTGCCAAGGGAAAAAATTTTTTTTTTTATTTTAATTTTTATTTATTACTACTAAAGCAAACAAGGGCGTAGCGCGAGCTGCATTTGGTTTTAGAAGAAGAGGGTTCAGGGTATGAACACAATTATTTGCAATTTTGAAGGTACTCCTAGTGTCCGCGCAGCACGAGTTTGTTTCCGATAATCAACAACTTGCCCCGTTTCTAAGCAATCGATTAAAATCGAAATCCTGTTTTTGGGCAAATCTCGTAAATTTTGAGAGCTGGAAACACCAAATTTCCTATCACAAATTGCAAGAATTTAAGTATAAATTAATTATATCAACAGCATAGCAATTGCGGTTCTGTTGTATTCTGTGCTGTGGTTATCTGCTGCTATTTTAATTAGTTTTTTTTTCATAAAGGTAGGTGATTCAATCTGTCACAGGTTCGATTCCTAGTGAGGGAAAGACAATTTTTTGATTACTGCTAAAGCAAACGAGCTCGTGGCACGAGCATCATTTGTTGTTGTTCGGAGTGTCCCCTAGTCGAAAACTCCCGTCTAGAGTGTCTTACTTTTTTTGATTAGTATTTGTTAAGGTATGAGTATGGATGTATCACACAAATAAAATCAATTAAATGGGGCTGTGTACGGAACTTCTACACCCAGGGATTCCAAAAAAGACGAAACTACGACTTGTAAGCTGTACTCCGTTGTTACACACGAACTTCTTGGGCACCCCGAATATACTCAAAATCTTTTCTCAGAACGCCGCCTGCAAGTGCGTCGCCGTCGTCCCCTGAGTGGGATCAATTCCACCCACTTCGAGAAAGCACCATGAAACACGAGCAACAGAGTACTGCCGTCAGCTCTGCCTCCGTAACATGCAACCGGCCGGCTTGAGTTGTTAGCTGTTGAATATCTGGCGGACTTTACAGCATTTCATATACTTGGCGGAGTCGCAGACGATACCCGGCCAGTAGTACCTCCGGGCTAACCTTGACACTGTCTTCCTTGTCCGGTGTCCGGCCGTGGGAGCAGCATGACATTCCCGCAGCACCCTTTGTCGTTGATCACTTGCCACACACTGTTCCCAGGATATGTAGTTCTCGTCGTCCATCCGGTGGCCCAAATGTCTATACATTTGCCCATTTTTCTCTTGGCGCGATTAATTTGCAGGGGGGCTCGGCCACCACTGCTTGCTGACAGGTCTCTGGAGGATGCCTAGATAGTGCATCAGCCACGACGTTAAGCTTCCGCCATCGGTAGTGGACATCAAACTGGAATTGTTGCAGTTCCAATGCCCACCACGCGAAGGGCACTCGATCGAGTTAAGCCATTTGAATGCCAGATGATCCGTTATCACGTCGAAACGGTACCCCTCGATCACAAGATCGCCAGGCACTCCTTCTAGCTGGCGGACTACTTCACCTCAGCCTTCAACAACTTTCAAAACGTGTATGCTAACACTTGCTCCTGTCCCTCTATTGTCTGCGTCAGCACTGCACCGAGACCATATTCACTCGCGTTAGTCTGCAAGACGAATCTGGCGGAAAAGACCGCACAAGCTAACACAGGGGTGTCCTTCAATTGACGCAATGCCTCCTCCTGCTCCTCTCACCAATAGCGGCCGTACCTGAGCCGCGAAGATGGGCACGGAACGCCTGTACCAAGAAGCCATCACGAACGCTACCCCAACTCCTTGCAATTAGTCAGGTATCTACGGTTACGTGTCGGCTCAACCTTCTCCGGATCGGTCCATATCCCCTTCCGCTAATCACATGTCCACGATAGACCAACCTCTCCTTGAGGAAAGTGCATTTCTTTTTATTCAGCCTTGGGTTGGCTGCCCCTAACCGGCGGAATACCTCCCTCAAATTCTCGACGTGTTGTTCTCGTGTCGCCTCTATTACTACAATATCGTCTAGGTAGGCGAACGAATGGGGCTTCATCTCCGGTCCTTTTACCGAGTCCAATGCTCGCTGAAAGGTCGCACACGCTGAATGTAGTCCGAATGGCATCCCCGCCCTTGGAACAAACCTCTTCCCGGCAATTGTATGCCGTGCATTCTCTTCTATCGCCTGCCATCGCTATCTGCCAATACCCGTGTTTCAAATCTAGGGTACAGATACATCGGGCACAGAGTAAGCATCCGGAATGGAGTGCGCATTAAGTTGCCGGTAGCCGATGCACATGCACCGCTCTCCAGTTTTTTGCTTGATTAAGATAATTGCGGCGCTGTGCGGACTACGTGACGGCTCGATGGCACCTGCATGGATCAGCTCATCTACCTGCTCATCGATCACCTTCAACATGGCCGGATTCTTCAGGTAGTACCTTTGCTTCAATGGCTTGTCATCCTTCATCCGGATCTTGTGCTCTATCTTCGACCACAGATGGAGCCCTATGATTCCTCCACTCCCGGTCACGTTTCCGCCGTGCCACCTCCATGAGCAGCTGCAACTCTATGCACCGCCTTTTGGGCTCCTTGTATGCTCAAACCGATTCCAAGTAAGGACCTTCCTTCACTTCCTTCTTCGTGTCCTCTCCATTCGATTGCGGAGCAGGCACTCCCTTTCCTGACGTGGGAGGCCTTCTTTTGACTCAGGCCCCATGATCGGTGCCCAATACACACAGAAAATGTATCCCTACAATGTCGTGGCATGGAGAGCATGATAGCAGGCATGATCGACAAGCTGATCACATTTTCTGTCAATCCGACATCTTACCACAAGGCCTTCCATTCTTCCAGCGTGTGGCGGCAACAATCGTAACTATTCCTGCCCCGGTTCCCACATAGCCAACAGAACACGGCCCTTGCGTTGGGACACTCCTTGGCGAAGTGCCCCTCCTGTGCGCACCTGTGACATGGCTGCTCCGGCCTTTTGGCTCCTCATCCGATGGGCGATCTCCGCTTGGTCCATTGCTGGCGAGGCGGGGAACCTTCCGTCCGTAATTGCCGCTCGGCTCCCACTGGGCGTAGACTAGAACGGATTGAGATGTCTCCACGTGGACTGTACTGTCCTTCCCAATTCAGCGCTACCCGGACTCATGGCAGCCATATGTGATGACGCGCTTCTCAAGGTCGTCCACGAAACCAAGCGGGTCGGATCGGCCATCATACCTCGCCCCATTTCCGAACTTGTTCCGGAACGTTCGAAAGTGGCCTAGCATCCGACTGAGGATACGGCCTGGGAGCATAAATAACACTGCTCGGGTTGGCGGGGTTCCGCCCTATCTTGGTGTCGATCGCTGTTGCTCGGAGGGCTCCATCCCTTCTGATGTCATGAACCTCCCTTAGACCCCCTGACAACTAAAGTAGGAGTCCGAATTTCTGGACGCTCGTACAATTGGCAGCTCCTCAGGTCTGGTTCCGATTTTTGATGTGGCGCCAACGTCGGGAAGGCCGTTCCAGGATGGCGGGTCTAACGTCTTGGCATACTGTGCTTCCAACTCAGCGAGCCGAACCGTAGTTTCAGGGGAATGGCCGCCATCCTGTTCATATATAGTCGCTTTCGCAGCTCCTCCACGTGCCCTTCCTTTTCCATTTACGCCCCGTATAGAAACCTAGCGGAAAAGTAGCGCATATCCAAAACAGCCGAGTCTGCCTTCAGAGCTTGATGGAAATCGCGGGCGTTATCTCACTAAAAGCCTGTATTGTTCTCACAGGCGACGGGACTGGTCCTCGTTTTACTAAACACCACACTTTAGGTTAGGAATATGTTGAACACCGGCTTGCCACGATGCCCGAGATTACTATTAATAGGAAATAAAATGAGTGAGCATACTTCGTTATCATCATTACTTTTATTTGGACTTCATTCACTATGATTGTTATACACTACTCTATTCTTCTTCCTTACCTAAAGGCCCTGCCGCACTGCCTGGTGCCTTAGCGCTCCGCCGTACACTTTCGGTTATTTTCGTTTCTTTTTGTCTCCCTCACGCACGCTACTCACATTGATCGTCAAAGCAGAAGTGCCGGCACGCACGCTGTCAAGCCGTGCGTTTGCCTCGGCCACTAAACTTCGCCTCGGAGTTTTCGCTCTTCTCAGCCGAAGTGAAGTTGTGCTCTCGAGGGCGGTGTTGAGTAACCGATCACTAACGCAAGGTTGCTGCGGTGGCGATTAAATTCAAACTTAAGCTATGCCCTTAATCAACTTCAAAAACTCGGCTCCTTGCCCTACTCATTCTAGTTATTAATAAAAAAATATTCACAGACTAATAATAATAATCGTGACAAATATACAAAACAAGCGGCTTCTTGCCTTACTTATTACTAATAAGAACGATGCTTACAGACAAACGATATCAATTGAAATATAAATCCAAAGGCTCCTTGTAACTGTGGATTTTGGTTTGCCTGCTCAAGGTAGCCGCCTCACAACATTACATCGGGATGCACGCGAAAAAAAAAAGAAATGTATGACAAATGTTATTGCAACCAACAAAACAATATCTAAGCGTTGAACTTTTTCTAAAAAAAAACAAGTTGTGCCCACGAAGATCTTTTTATAAAGTCATTCTGCTATTAGGGGCCCCAAATCTATAAAAAAAAATGTGTTCAATAAAAATCGGTAATAGCTGTAGCATAGTGATATCGATGCTACCAACAATAAAAGATGGCAAGTAATAGGATGAAAACAGCATATCGTGTTTCGAATTTCTTAGTTCAGTCTAAATCACTTTCAGAGACGCTACTTTTTCGATAGATATAGGATAGGCAGTAGAGCCCAAACGCAAAAGCTCCATTCGCATTGAAAATTAACATTGTTTAGCATAGCTTAAAACTGTAGTGGAAACGAGGTATTTTTCCAATAGTAATACCAACTATAATCGATTATATAATCGATAGTGTTTTAGCCACTTGATCTCCTTTTCGTGAAAATTTAACTTCTACACATAATAAGTGATTATTAACCAAGCAATTTTGTTGACTATCATGCAGAAAACTATATTCCCACATATATAAATTTGTAGAGTTTTTAATAATTTTAGGAGAATTTTTTAAAGTTAAAGTTTTCTGAAAAGTGCTTGTGAGCTAATGTAAAATATAACAAAATGTTCTGTATGTTATAAGGGCATCAAAATGACAGTAAATAGTGTATTTATGTAAATCACGCGTGAGTAAATAACTCTTTTTCCAGCTTAAATCTATAAAATTGGTTTGACATATTAAAAATAAGCGCTATTTAAATTTATGTAGTTGTGTATATATTAAAGTTTTTATATTTGTATGGATTGAAAGTATGTTTATAAATACATTGTATTATGTATAAAAGGAATTACAATTATGAATAATTAATTTTACAAAAAATAGGAAAGAACGTATATCATAAGCAAACATCTGCATGTGTACATACAAATATTATATCTATACATAAACATATCCGTAAATATGTATACATAAAATCGGTGACTACAAATAAAAGGAAATGTCCATGAGTATTCTGACGCATTCCAATCTGGGTCAAGGTAATTTTGTACACTTTGTTTGTATACTATAAAAAATTGTGAAAATATATATTATCTATGGCGGTTATTCTCATTACTATAGAATAAAATCTGCAGCGAGTTACATACTAATTGGTGTTGAAATTTAAAAAGTTATCGGTATTATACCCAGAACACAATAAAAATGGGTTAAAAGGGTATAATGTATTTGTGAAAATGTATGTATGTAACAGGCAGATAAAGGCATCTCCGATCCCATAAAGTATATACATACATATATTCTTGAGCAGCAAAAAAAAGCCGATTCGATCTAGCCATGTCCATCCGTCCGTATGTATGAACGCAAGGTTATCAGAACCTTTAAGAGCTAGAGACTTGAAATTCGGGCCGTAGGTCCTCCGAGTGCTCGCGCAGTACGAGTTTGTTTCCGATAATCGATATTTTGCCCCGTTTCCAAGTAATCGATATCCAAATCGTGTTATTTGAGCAAATCTCTAGGTTTTAGGAGCTAGAGTCACCAAACGACATGTAGCTTCTAGAATAGTATATATATATCAAGCATCTTTCATTGTATAGCTATCGCCACTACCCCGCTATCACCACATAGCTATAAATCAAGTAAAAACTCCAATTTGTATTACCCACCAATTTAAGGCACAATTTTAATGCAATTGTCAATTGAGAATACACGAACATTCTATAGTACAATAAGATCTACTGCTGAAATTTCAAGTCTCTAGCTCTTATAGGTTCGGAGATCCTTGCGTTCATACATACGGACGGACGGGCAGACAGACAGACAGACGGACATGGCTAGATCGACTCGGCTATTGATGCTGATCAAGAATGTATATACTTTATGGGGTCGGAGATGCTTCCTTCTGCATGTTACATACATTTGCATAAACACATACCCTTTTTTACCCATTTTTAATGGGTTCAGTGTATAATTACAAAATATAATCTTTTCGCGTATCAAATCGAATAGCATAATTTCTTGAGAATATGCAAATGTATAGGTTAAAAAACTCCAAGCCCCTACTGCGTATTCTAATGGAAAAACAAATGGAGTTTTGATTTTAATTAAAAGGCATCTGAATTAGAAAAAAAAACAAGAGGTTCTAGTCGGGAGCTCCCGACTAGGGGATACCCTGAACCCTCTTCTTCCAACACCAAATGCAGCTCGCGCTACGCGCTCGTTCGATTTAGTAGTAATAAAGAAAAATTAAAAAAAAAAAAAAAAAAATTGGTCCCTTGGCAGGGTTCAAACTTGCAACTAACCGAACCACTTGCCGCCGCCTCTACTCACCAGCCACACCAATAATTGAGCTTGAATGAGAAAAAAACCAATTTAAATAGCAGCACAGAAAAGAATACAATCGCAATTGCAATGCTGTTGTCTTATTGCATAATAGAATAAAGAATATTTGTATATTCTCAAAAATTCAATTGCATATAAATTGTGGCTTTAATTGATGTGCAATACAAGTTGGATAATTAACTTGATTTATAGCTTTCAGGGGAGGTGGCGATAGCTATAAAATGAAAGATACTTCATATATACAGTTTGTCAAGAATGAGTTTACACATTGAATATAAATCTACTTTTTCAACTATTAGACTAAAAATATGAGCAACCGCCTGCAATTTTTAACTTGCTTTTGGGTATTTATAGTTAGTTGTGCTATTTTTAAAGAGACAGTAACATAAAAATGCAATTTCAACAATAAGAAACCAAAAAAAACACAAATTCAAATGTTACTCTGTTAAACTAGTATCAAGAAACTCTTTACACATTCTTTTCCTCCTTCCTTCTTTTCAATATTCCATGAAATACGGTCATTTTACCGTTATCTATTCTTTGCTTTGCATTGTTTTCAATGCATTTCATTCTCATTCGGCGATTATTTTTGATGAATACACGTGCTTTGAGATGCTTTTGATTTGTAAAAGATGCCAGGCAAGAGATTATCATTTGAAGTTGTCCAGATTATATACTATAACCACCAGATGGGAAAACGTGTGCTTGAATTAGCAGAAATGTTTTCTGTTTCACGGAAGACTATCTACAACGTCTTAAAACGCATTGACAATGAAGGTACGTTGGAACCCACGCGTGGAGGTGGACCTAAGCCTTAAATAGGGGAGCGTACAGAGCGTTTAATGATGAGGAAGGTGGCTCTAAATCCTCAGATCTCAACCACAGCTCTTGCCAGGGAACTGAAGGATGAATTCGATGTTGCGGTTTCTATTGAAACAGTAAGGGAACCCATAATTCGCAATGACTACAAATCAAGAGCTTCGCGCAAGAAACCGCTCCTTTCTCAAATAAACATTGAAAAAATATTGTGCTTCGCATATATGCATATTTCTCATTCAATTGATTATTGGGACAAAGTCATATTTTGTGATGAAACAATAATGATGCTGTATTACAATGATGGACCAAGAGTGTAAGGCGGAAGCCGTTAACTTCTTGGGAAATCAAAACATAATACCCACTGTAAAATTTGGAAAATTGTCGGTGATGATTTGGGGGTGCATTTTAAGCAGCGGAGTTGGAGATTTAGCTTTTATTGAGACCACTATGGATGCGCAGCAATATTTTAATATTTTGAAAAGCCACTTGAGGAACAGTGCTCTTAAATTTGGGCTCATAAGAGATAACAAGCCACAATTCAGATTTTATCAAGACAATGACCCTAAGCACAAAGCGAATATGGTGCGCATGTGGCTCCTCTATAACTGCGGAAAAGTGATGGATACACCTGCTCAGAGTCCGGACTTAAATCCCATAGAAAATGTATGGAGTTTTCTGAAGAAAATGTGGCTTAAAGGCAGCCAAAAACTAAGTCGGAACTTAAACCTGTCATTTTAGATGAATGGCAGAAGTTACCAACAAATTATGACTTCAAAAAATTAATACACTCAATGAAAACACGACTACAATGTGTCATAAATGCTAAGGGTGGACATACGAAATATTAAACTTTAATTTCAATTACCATTTGCGTATATATTAAGTGTAAAGTCACTTTATTATTTGTGTAGTTTCTTGGCACTTAAAAAATGTAGAGTTACTTCTTTTGTTTTTTTTTCGTTGAATTTGCTACTAAATTTTACCTATTTGTTATATATTTAAGTAAAAAGGATAACTAAAAATAATGACAAAAAAAAACAATAGTAAAATAAATAGTTCATTTTTATTGTTATTAGCTTGAAATGTAGCATTTTTAGTCAATGTGTACTCATTCTTGACAGACTGTATATACCATTTCTAGAAGCTACATGTCAAGTTTGGTGACTCTAGCTCATATTATTTGCCGAAATTGCTAAAAAAAAAAACAGGATTTTAATATCGATTTTAATCGATTACTTGGAAACGGGGCAAGTTATCGAATATCGGAAACAAACTCGATCTTCGCGGGCATTAGGAGAACCTACAGCTAGCTGAGATCCTTACGTTCATACATACGGACGGACGGACAGACAGACGGACATGGCTAGATCGACTCGGCTATTGATGCTGATCAAGAATATATATACTTTATGGGGTCGGAGATGCTTCCTTCTGCATGTTACATACATTTGCATAAATACAATATACCCTGTTTACCCATTTTTAATGGGTTCGGGGTATAAAAATGGTGGCGTGCAGACTAGTAATATGTTACTCGATTTGGCTTTTCGTTCTTTAAACGACAAGCCAGCCGACTGGCTTTTCGCTCTTCGAAGGCCACACGATCAATTGCCGAAGTCGCGGCTTGTTGATGCTGACACGAGCGACGATGTCTGTCGCTAGCCTGCCTGCAGCAAAGCTGGTCGTTTCCTTTTCGAAGTACATTGAGCGAAAAAGTTGTATACTAACGATTAAAGCTTAGCACTTTTGCTATATCCACGATATGCATGCTATATATGAATGACTACATTAGATACTATTGCTAAAGCTTAAAGTCAGATTTAACAATATAATAATTGTGCAATAACTATCTTCAAAAAATAACCCACGTCAAAAAATTTTACCTTTCTTTTTGCATAGTGTATTCTGGCGAAAAGTTATTATATATTTTACGTTTCCGTTTTCCAGGATATTTTTGTCAAACTGCATTTACGAGCTAACATGTCTGCAAAATCGTTAGGCAAATTATTATTATATTTTCGCTGTGCTGAATTAAGTGCCTATTAAAAAATCTGTAAATACCAGTTAAAATGACAAAGCATTGGCATATACAAAATGTATGCCTCTCAGCTGATATTTTTTAAAAAAGCTTTATTTTTGAAAATTTTAAATGTCATTTAAGTATGAAGGGCTAATTTATCATGCTTGCCACCGTGATGGTGTTCAACTGGCGAATATGATAGGCGCACTGATGGCTTCGAGATTCCGCGTGTACCAACTTTTTGATAATGGATGATGTTACTGGGTTTCCCTTTGTCTTTAGAACGGTGTGCCTTGCGTTGGAATCTGATCGCGAATATTAAAGAAAATCCGCCGACTCGGAAGAATCCATATGAGTCGATGAAGGGTGTCAGGGAAATATACTGTTGTTCAAAGATAACAATTTCTTCTCCAAAGGCATCGCATACGCTTGAACAAAATGGACTCGATTGCTTTTGATCAGTACATATATAACTACGCGAAGGTCCTCGACAGTCGAATCTCCTCTGGAGTAGCTTACCTTGTGATGTAGTAACCAGAATCTGTAGATGTAAGCAAATACCGCCAGAAAAATCGTCCATTCCGTTCTAAAAGTTATAGTTATCCCTCAGTTCTCTTGGAGTGAAAACAAGGTGTGCGCTGGATATTTTTAATTTTTTTTGATGCTAAGCTCGATTGAAGGCAAAAACATTAAATTCCGGCATTCTCGAACCATAAAAGATCAATTGTAGATTCCCACCAACAATGCAATTGACAAGGGAATGATACATTTTAAGCGATATTTCAGTCCAGTGTTCCATGTACCAGTCATCATAAAATTCCAATTTAGAAATATGAAGCAGTTCCTATGGGTCCCTGATCGAAGATATACTCTGGTACACAACTATAAACGCACCCACTTTTTTCAATGTATTATTCTTAAGAATCGGGCGAACGAAAAACTAAATGAGGAATGAAAGAAACGCACTCTGATATTTTTGGTTTTCTCGTCAGTTTATAAAAAGCAGAATCGTTTAAATAATTGTTTGCATTAATTATTAAGCTAAAAGTTTTAAAAATAAGAACATGCCGCAAGTTTCATAGAAAATAAGTGCTTTTAACAGTGAGGGGATCCCGATGCAAAAATCATCAGAAAAATTAATCGTTCTGATGCTGTAGTCAGAAAGTATTTGAAGAACCCTAAAGAATACGGCACAAAGACGACGGGAAGCCCAAAAACAAAAGTTTCTGACCGAGACAAGCGATATATAATAAAAAAAGCTAGCAACTCAATGAAGTGGGCCAACCAAATTGTCCATGACTGTAACCTCAATGTGTATAGCTGGACCATTGCATTGTTTTAAAATATTAAATCTACAACAAGATTGCTAGACCGTCACAAGACAGCTCGTCAATGCTCGTGCTGATGGTTGCTTGAAGTTAATTTTTCCAACTACTCGCATGGATTCATCTAAGTACACAGAGATTCTGATCATAAAGTAGGTATAATTCAGGCGTGGGAATCACTTTTCAAATATACGCTTGAAACCCTAATTAAGAGCATGCCAAAGCGCATAGCTGAATTGATTAAAAATAAAGGGGGATATACTCATTATTAATTTGCTAAATACACTATTTTTTGTTGAACGAATTTGATGTTTTTTGATAGTGTGTTTATAGTTATACACTAGCCGAAAATTGTTTTAGTAATGAACAAGAAACGGTGAAGACATTAATGTTGTTGTTTTGCACTTTATGTTTTATTTTACATTCTCTTTTATCACGCATCAGAGTGTATTTACACACGCCTTATGCCACAATAATTGCATCACAAAAGGCAGGTATTAGAATGGTGGCTTGAAAAAGCACAACAAGTCGAAGCGTGGTAATCGATACTGAGAGCTAACTCTTGCCATACCAAATGCAATTCTTGGGAATGGTTTCCTTCCAAATTGAGTTTTATCTCTACATAATGATTGAATTAAATAACGTAAGTGCTAACAACAGTAGATAGAGCGGTACGTTTGGTAACTAGTCCATCAGGAACATTTTTTGAAAAACAAAACAAAAAAGGAGACTGCTCTAAAACCAGCCCGAGCATCTTGACAATATTCGTTACGTCATGGAACTTTTAACAGTTTCGTCTTATCCACCAAGCTCATCATCGGAAGGTTCGCTTGCGCATTACTTGCGAATAGGAAATTATCCACGGCTTAGTAATTTCCTCACCTGGCATCTAATCTCACTCACCTGGTTTAATATGTCCCTACAGACTTTCTATCCACATAAAAAGCTCTACGAATGATAAAAGATCGAAAGGAGAATTCAGACTCGTTATCATTGCCCTGCTGTTGCATAGAATTGCTAAAAAGCTGCTTGGTACCATATGTTACCGTGGCCAACTTGTAGGCTTCTACTTGTTCAGATGGGTCGTCGCGCCAAAGAAAGCATTGTAGATATTCATCATAATTGAAAATCCGAACTGTTGAACTAGCAAATAACAATTTATTTAGTTGGAAGCCAGATTACCAAATATAAGTGATTTGATAAAGCTTCCAGAAATTCTATGTACATAACTTAAACAGGCTCATAGAAATTGGCAAATGGTTCCGGATCATAAGTCCGGATCAAAGACGGTAACAATAAACTAAATTCTGTTGCAGGGACATATACAAAAAAAAATAGATATATTAATACAAATCAAACCGTATTTATCACAGTCATTTAAAAAAAAAGGCTGTTAAAGTTCAGAATTATGTCTATTTATACCCTGAACTCATTGTAAATAGATAATAAGAATATACTGCTTTTGTGCAATTGCTTGTAACAGGCAGAAGGAAACACTTTAGATCCGGTCGACCTAACCATATCCGTCTGTCCGCATGTATGCGTCGATCGCAGAACCTATAAGAGCTTTAGACTTAAAAATGTTGAACTTTTAGGATTTAAATAGCCCCACCAAGTTAATAGGCCGCGTGTTGTATGGTATAAACAGATTAAGTTTGTGATTTTTTTTTTGGATAAGGCAAAAATTTGTTTAATAAATAAATATTTAAAAATAGGTTTGGGCCGACCATGTGTAAAAAAATTAATTTGTTTTCGTTAGTATTTGAATTGTATTAACTTTTAATCTACTTTAGCGAAACGCAAATCGGGTGCGATTGGTGCTTAAATAAGTTGTATTTAAATATTGTTATTCAAAAATATCATGTAATATTCCGTTGTATAGAATTATTTATTTACGAATCAGATGTGCACTACAATTACCAACAAGTATCGATATTTTTTCTCTGAAGATGTGCTCTTTATACGCTACCAGGAGCTGAAAGTTCGATAGAAAATTACTTAACATAGTTTTGAAATCGGATAATGTAACATCTCTTATGTGATTGCATACAAGATTTGATCAAATAATAATGCTAATAAATTTAAACAAATGATATATTTAAACTAAGAGAAACCATTCACTTGTTCACAGCTCCGCTGTACAATAACTGATTTTCCTTTTCGCAAGTACCCTCAATTGAAAACGAATCGTACGCTGCTCTTTTCCAAGTGCCGGGTCATCCGCCATCGGAGCTTTCGCTTTTCGCCGCTAAAGAGAAGTTGCGCTCTCGCAGGGGATATTGGACCGGCGGCCGTTACATTCTTAAGTAATTTCAGTAATTCTGCTCCTTGCCTCACTTATGATTATGTAGCAATGCTTATACACTATAAATATGAGTATGACCTGTTCGGTGCTAGCTGCCTTGGTAGTCGCCTCAGAACAATACGCAACTAAATTGGGCTTAACAGGCTGCTCTTGGACACTGACTACATGGCCGCAATCGTCGTGTAGTAGTAGTAACATATAATAAACAATTTATTAAATTGGAATATCTTTTTATATGTTGAAAGATATTATCGGATTTATTTGAGTTGATAAGTAAAACACATGCACGTCAGTGCGATTTGATGTTCATATTGAGAAATGATTTTATTGTCTTCAAAAATGTTCTTAGCCTATGGATAACATATATAAACTTATGCTGTTACCGGTTAACAACTACAAAGAGAGAGAGAGAGAGAGAGAGCGCGCAAGTGTACTCATACATACATATGTGCGCTCACTCTCGGAGCGGCTACAGTGCTAGCTTCCCACGCTAGCTTGGCCTGCTCAAGTGGCTTCATGTTACTCATGTGCGCAGCACTGTATGTATGTATGTGCATGTGTATGTGCATACATATATACAATTATATTTATGCTATGCGCTTGGATTGATTCTTTATATTTGTTTTTACTTGCAACAGAGTGATACAAGTTGAGTTATGTATGAATACACTACAAAATACTTGCCAAGAGTCTGGCAATAATTGGACAAATATAAAAACGGAATTTACAAAGAAATTAGTTTATGAATATTGTGCAAATTAAAATACAAAAAATAAGTACGAAAAGAATTTGTGCGTAAATATAAAACAGTTTGTGGGTAACGTTGCGCATGATAGCAATAAAAACTAATTCACAAAATAAAAAAAAACGATGACACTCGCATCGACGAGCCAAATATACAGGCATAAAAATCCAAATTCCATTATCACCAAGCCGACGGCTATGGGCAGCGGCGACGAAGTCCAAAGCAACCAATGCTTTGGTACAAAAGAATTCTAAACAATCCACTAAGACATTAACATTCGGGCAGCAAGACATGTAAGTAAAAATCTAAACTAAAATTATTTTAAAAATCCCGTCAGAAAATAAAAATAAAAAAAAGAATAATAGAATAATTTTGTGTCAATGCGAATAATAAAATTTAATAATATTGTGCGTGTTTTGGTTTAATATTCTAAACAAAGTCATTAAATAAATATTTGTTTGGCTAGCTCGATGTCCGGGGTTTTTATTGAAGACAAAAAAAAACACAATTTTGCTGATTTTCACCGATATATTATATTGTTTGATGTGTTTATTAAGTGTAACATTAGAAATGTATGTCTTTTGTTGTAGAATTGTAATCAATCGAAATTTGTATTATTTTTGTCTTAATTTGAAGTCCGTTTTGTGTTAAGTTCTTCTTGTTTTTAGTTTAGATTTTGTTGTACACGCTATTGAAAATATTGTTGTTGGTATTTTCGCCTTTGTATTGTTAAATAATTTTTGTAACGTATTTGTAGGCTTGCGGGATAGTTATATTTCTTGTTTGGTAGATTCTGTTGGCTTTTGTGTTCTGATTTGTTGTCTTTTGAATAATCTTCTAATTACATTCTGTGGGAAGTCATTTATGGTCAAGAATTATTTTAATTTCGTGTTTAATTTCTTTGTGGTATATTGTGTCCGATTTGTTTGGCATTCTTCTCATATAGCTTAGTGCTGTATGTATTATCATACTTTTTGGGTGGTAAGAGGTAAAGTTTAGTATTCTTCCAGAGGCTATGGGTTTCTTATACCAATAATTTTTGAGAGAGTTGTTCACTCTGTTTACTAATGCGTATAAAAATGGTAGCTTCCCGTCTTGTTCTAGTTCAACTGTGAATTTGATGTGTTTGCGAAGCGAGTTAAATTCTTTTGGAAAGTTTTGTACTTCTGTTTTGTTCGTTACGGCAAAAAGGTCATCCACATATTTTGTCAAATAATGTTGTCCAATAGTTCTTCCATTATTATGTCAGCGATTACTGGAGAGGCCGGTGATCCCACTGGCATTCCTTTCAATTGTGTGTATATTGTCTTCATATTTAAAATACCTGTTTTCTTGAATAAAGAATTAAACTATATCCATAAATAATTGTTTAGGTTTAGTTGTTTGTTCTTCTAATTCAATTTTCATTTTATTGTGTCCAGTACCAATTCTATTGGTATGCTGGAAAACACTGATACTACGTCAAAATATAATAATATTTCGTCCCGACGTAGGCGTTGTTGACATTGTTTTTTAGCTTTAACGAATTCTTACTTTTGTATTCAGAGTCCATTGTCAAGTTTCTTAATATTTTTATAATATATTTGCATAGTCCATTTAATGGAGAATCAGTAGAGGAGCATATTTGTTTCAGAGGCGTTCCTTCCTTGTGAATTTTGGGTAGGCCATATGTCCTCGGAGGTGCCGCTGGGGTAGTAGTCATTTTATTTCTTTCGTCCTTTGAAATAAGTCCCATTTAAAATAATTGTGTCACAAGGCTGTTATTCTTTGTCTGTAATCTTGATGTCGGGTCCTGTCTTAATGTTCTATACGCGCATAAGTCATCTAAAATATTTGCCATTTTATTATTGTAGTCGTCACTAAACGTTGCTACTGTTTTGTTACCCTTGTCAGAAGATAATATTTTGATATTGTTATTTTCTTGTAAGAATTTACGTGTCTGTTACACTGTGTCTAGTATTGCTCGATCCCTTGTGCTTTGGTTGTTCTTTGTTTTGTATTCTTTAACTAAAAAAGACAATTTAGTACGTGCCGACTCTTGTGTTTCTTTTTCGTTTATCGTCTGTACCAGCTCTTCTCCGTCCGCAATGTAATTTATGAGAGGGAATTTCTTTCATATTAATCGGGAGAGCGAATTTTGGCCCTTTTGCAAGAAGCGTTTCTACGTTAGGCGGGAATGCTGTTTTCGTTTTGTTTACAAACCATTCTCTTTGAGTCTTGTTGTCCGCT